CAGAGGAAGAAATGACAAGAAGAGGAATGCTAAGTTTTGCTCCCTTTCCCACACTTCTGAAATGTAAAAACTTGGTGTTCTATTCCTCTATCATCATCTCATTGGAATCCTTTTCATGTCCCACTATCCACAGTTTGCTCTATATCTCACCATCTAGTTCACAAACCAGGATATGTTCAAATATTGTCTTTCATTTTATAGTTCTCTGAGATTTAAAATTAGGGACTAGACTCCCTTCTCAATACCAGTCTTAAACAGGAAAGCCTTCAGAAACACATAGAACTGGCCTGCAGTCCCAGGCATGTCCATTTGTAGCTGGACTCTTAAATAAATTCAGAACCTAATCTAAAGTATAGCCTCTTGACATATGCAGTTGCATCTTGGCTTCTAGCCCAGCGGTGTTTGGTAAAATTCCCAACAGCATCTCACCAAGGATTTTGTTACGGTTTTTATATAAAAATATCTTACAAAAGCTCATGTGTTAAGACTTGGCTGTTGGGTGATAGGCTGGGGACAGAAGATTGGCTCATATGATCTTTAACTTCATCAATACAGGTATCCATTGACAAATTCCTCAGGAGCTGGCAGGGATTGAAGGAAGAAAGTCATTGGGAGCTTGCATCTTTTCCCCTGGCCCTTTCTTATCTGTCCCTCTACTATCTGGGTAACAGGTTAAGCAACTTTCTTCTGTCTTTCAGTCATGTTGACTGCCTTGCTATGCATCTAAGAGCAATAGAGTTGCTGAATGAATTCAAACCACTGACATTACAAGCCAAAAAGTAAAAACCTTTATCTTTTAAGTTGCCTAGATGAGGAATTTTGTCCCAGCCTCAGAAATGTTGACTAACATAGTTATAAACAAAAAAAAATGGGTAATATGACATTGTGCTTTCTAAGGGTATTGGGAAAATAAGGCACAGTAGGTCATTAGGAATAAACTATGTAGTCTAAGCCTCCATTTCCTAACTACTAGAGATGATGTCTACCTTTTCAAGTTATGATGGGCACAGAAGATGCTAATAAAGCATTTAGTATAGAGACGACATTACTAAATTGAAAGCCATTCATTTCCTGTTCCTCCTTTCAGCTGACATTCCTCAACTTGCAGGTAGTAGGAAAGCAAGCTGATGAAATGGGTTATAATGATGTAGCTTTTAAGCCTCAAAGTTGTGTTCCTATTATTATAGAGGACCGTTTTTCTAAAATCAAGTTAGAGCATTCAACCGAAAGGTAACTGCTATAGACATCTGAGGATAACTGTGGAAGGTAGAAAACAGCAATGTCAGGAGTCCCATCAAACATTTAGGAGAATGCACCCACCCAAAACCTCAATCCTGCTCCCAAGCTGGCAGAATTCTTGAGCTCAGAGGTGATAGTCAATGAAACAAAGGCAGAACAATGAAAAAACAAAACCAAAATAATGCAACATACATTAGCAGAAGTTTTATCATAACCAGAAGATAGAAAAGATGACTGTGTTCTAGTTGTCTTTTCTCTTTTAAAACAGGTAGTTTGCAGCATGTGTGTGTGCTGACACATGTGCATTTGTGTGTGTATGTGTGTATGTGTGTGTTTGTGTGTGCATGTCTGTATATTTGTGTGTATATATGTGCGTATGTTTGTGTGTTTACACAGGCTTGTGCGCGTGTGAGGGTGCACTTGGCAGTGTGTCACTGTCTCGTTACTTGTTGAAACAGGTTTGCACTGAATGTCCTGCCCACCATTTTACTTAAAACTAGTCAGTCTCTGAGACTACAGAACCTGCCAGTCTTCATGGCATTACAAATGTGTACACAACAACTGACCCTTTAGGTGCATGTTGGGAATCCAAACTCAAGCCCCATGCTTGTACAGCAAATGATTTACCCAATAGCCATCCCCCTTGACCTATGGCTATCTTTTAGGTATCTGTACACTGTAAGCAGTCTGTCTCAGCAATTATTACATAGGGGTGATTATTTTCTCATTGTCTTATCTAGATTATATGTCTTCAATCACTACCTTCTCTTCTCTCTTTCTCTCTCCCCCTCCCTCCTTCTCTATATTTTGTTTTGTTTTGTTTGTTTTGAGATGGGGTTTCTCTGTGTAACAGCCCTGGCTGTCCTGGAATTTGCTTTGTAGATCAGGATGTCTATGAACTCACAGAGATCTGCCTGACTCTGCTTCCCAAGTGCTTGGAATAAAGGAGTATGTTACCATTACCCAGTGACCCTTCTCACTCTATTTCATCTTCTGGATGCTTCACCTATCACACAGATGCACCCATTTCTATATATACAGTGTGAGTGTTAAGTTTCAGACCCTTACACAAGATAGCAACTGCTAACTGCTTGTCTATTTACCCAACACCCTAATGTCTTAGACATCTCTAGCTTTATCTGAGAGAACCATGCACATGAAGAATATAGACTCATATGGTTTGTATTTTGCTGATTTTAAACTCATGATGTAGTTTCAAGCCTTCTCATGCTCTCTGTTTCTCTGGTAGAGAGCAGTGATACGCCTCAGATTTAACCCATCTGCAAACTATAGATAGAACTGTTCTCTCACCAGAAGAAACACTTCTACTGTGTATTATTTTGTGAGAATGGCAGTAATTGATGCTTAATGCTTGGACTTACCAATTATTGGAGCTCACAGAGTAATATTTCAAAGTTACTATGATGATGTCATTTACTGGTAGAAATACTTATACAAAAACATAGTTATCTGTTGTGTTTTGTTAATCTATGGCATAGTATTACTTTTAGAGTGAGAATAATTCTTATTTCTCTGTTTACTGGTTTTCAGGTTCATATACTAACTTCTTGTACAAATAGTTAAGTTCAAAACTCTCATTATATACTCTGTTGGACTGAAACCTTGGAAAATTTTACCAATAGTAGATTACAGATTGTCCATTTCTGGCCCTCAGAAGGCTTTTAAAGTTCACTACTAAGTCATTTCATTAACAATTGACCAAGAAAGAGAATTTAAACCAGTGAACTGCAGTTCTGAATTTGTCTATTTCCCCCTCGAACTCTGGCAATTTCTAAGGAACTCATGTATTTTGAAACAATGTCATGAGCCAGAGATACTTCTGTTGTTTTATGGCTTCCCGATGAAGTAATCTTTTTACTATTATCAAATGTCCCTTTTCTCTCTGGCAATAGTGTCTTAAAATTTCCTTTCTTGTATATTTCCATGACCACTCTGGCCTTCTTGTTACAGTTAACTTTTTATTTTGAAATTTCCTCCTTTTACTTCCTACCAATCTTTAGCTACTGTATATTGTGTGAACATGGGTATGGGTGTTTTAGCTACTGTATATTGTGTGAACATGGGTATGGGTGTACATGTGTGTATGCTTGTATATACGTGATTGTGTATACTTCAGTGTGTGCATATGTGTACATGTGTATATGTGTGTGAATATGTGATTGTGTATACTTCTATGTGTACATACATGTACGTGTGCTTTGTGTGTGCTTGTATGTGTATGGGTGCATGTGCTTGTGTATGTGTGTGCATATATGTTCATGTTCACATGTGTATTTCTGTGTACATGTGTTTGTGTGTACATGTTTATGTGAACATGTATGTATGTATGTGTACATGCTTGTGTTTGCTGCTATTTCCCTCTTTGGCTTCATTTGTAAAATAATTTTCTTCACTTTAAACTTTCAACAATTTATGTAAGTTTTGGACATTTTAATTCTATTTCCACATCCTGTTTATTTATATATTTTATCATTTTCCTGATGTAGACCTGATTTTAAAGAGTCATTAATAGTATAGTCTTCTGATATACTTTCTTTGCAGCAGAAATACTATTGTTTTATGCACCTTTTTCTTGAAACTTCAATATGACTTGAGTAATTTATTGCTTATTTTTATATAAAAATAACATTTTCTTGACTTTAAGATATGATTGCATGTTCATATCAACAGAGATTCTTCAAAATGCCTCCATCCTGAGAAGTCCACACCCTTTGCTTCCTCCACCTCCAGCCTCAATGCTGAGATGTTCCTACCTATCCCTTCCTCCATGTCCAGAAGTCCACTTTCTTTTTTTCCTTATACTGCTCTAAATCTAACTGGTCCTTTTCTTTCCCTGTAAGCAGGGCTTAACCTGAAAGGCATCAGGCATCGTAGGAAAATGTCTTTCTAATCTTGCAGCTTCTCCTTGACCTGGCTAGCATTTCTCAAATGCACAACAGTACAACTACTCCAGCCCCATCAGAACTTCTTGCTAGAGGACTTTTCTGACTTGTCTCAGGGAATGAAATTTCTCCCACTTTTTGCTGCTGATTCTATGCTGCCTGCATTCGACTCCGAGGTGATCATTTTCTCAAGTCTGGGACAGACAGTGTATACATTGCTTCCTTTTGCTCTCCTTACAAACACTGACACCATGGATGCCTAAAGGCCATTGTCTCTCTGAGTGTGCTGAAAACAGTTCATATGGAGTTTTGCTGTACACAGTGCTTGAGTTTTCCACTCTGGTGCTGGTGGAGACACCCTGAAATTCAAAGGCTGCATTGCAGGGCTGCCACATGTGTCACCTTCCAATATTCACATTTTTTTATAAAACATTTTTCCCAGATCCTCAGATGTGGAGATCACAGATGGACAGTATCCACAAATGAGGGCAACCAACAAAGCCCACGTGAATAATAAATTAGAGCACTGACTCATCACGGGGCTGAGATTCACGTCATGAGTCAGCAGCTTCTGCCGTGAGAGACCTAGGGCAGTGGTCCTCAAAATGAACTCCTTGGGAGTTAACAGAAATTAGGGACTTAGTTCTGTGACTCCAGGGAGCATCACTTGAGAAACAGCAGGCAAAGGAACCCACACCTCTCCGTCTAAAACACAACTAAAAAAGGAAGTGGAAAAGTTTGTACAAAGATATTAATGAAGAAATCAAAGATCTGAGGAGAAAAGTACCATGTTACAATTTAACTCGTATTTATTTATTACTATTTTTAAGAAAAAAAAACATGTTCTAGTTTTCTTACCTTATACCAAGTGACGGTTGGTTTGACACTGGGAGGAAAGTATCCATCTACATTTGGACACGTGATGTTATGAATACTGTGTTCAATATACAGTTTGTGTACTGGGAGTCTCATGGAGGATTTGAAGCAGCTGTCCTTCTGAACGACTTCCAGGGGAAATGCAACCTTGCTGCAGTATGTGGTGTTCCTGAAAAGACAAATGCGCACTGAGCATGGAGCCTCATCTGCATTTGATTTAATATAGCTGGGACTTCTTTACAAGTGTGAATTCATGTGAAAATTAAGTCACTTACCGAGACATTTCTTATACTAATTAGCACTACACACTAAAAAGCAAACAGAAGCATCTGCTATTAATGTACTAAAATATTTATCCTCTATATATTGACCTCAAATGTGTATTTAAGATGTTCATTTAAAACACTCTCAGCAGTAGTGTTTTTATTAAGGCAAAGGTAAAGATATCATATTTAAGGGTGCAACCAACCCTTGAAACAGAAGAGTTTCCAGGATTTTAGGTTCTGACCTGAAGGGTTTGGAATTTTTCTTTTACAAGATCAATATTTTAAAAGGGAGAAATAGAGCCAGGATGTAATTCAAAACATCTTCCAAGTGTCACCTCTGCCAGGGAAACAAGGGAATTCATAGAAAAAGCAAATAAACAGGCAATAAAGAAAATTATAACATTGTTTTCAAAATTGTTGTACATAGCTACAAGCAATGGTGAAGGGAACCTAGGCTCAGGAAACATCTTACAATGAATGGAAAAGTGTGCAGTATTGTTTGTCCAGACTGAGCCACATCTATATCAAGTTCCCCTCTCCTACACCCTACCCTGCATCATTCTACACTTAGTTTTCCTATACAGTGAGAACCTTGGAAAATATATATATATATATATATATATATATATATATGTGTGTGTGTGT